CAAAAATATATTGAAAGTATGGTGATGGTATAGGGCGTTTTTGAAGCGGTAGCTGAGATAGGGCATTCTTGAAAAATTTTCTGAGATAGGACGTTTTTCCACTCAGGCACATTTAAATTACTGGACCATCGATGTTTTTCCACTTTCACTTCTGCATGGAATACTTAAGATTTAGGGCCAGGTTTTCAGTGCACGGCTGTGGTTTAAACTAAGATTAGCCAATCAAATGTCCACCTATTCTAAATTTAAATTTACACTGGAAAACTGGCCCTTAAACATCTTAGTTACCTATGGCTATATAGTACGGAAGATACATACCTGTTAATTATGTATGTATAATTTTTTATTTGCATTAACAAGACCACAGCTCAGTTTTTTTTTTGTCTTTATTTTAAAACGCATTCATAGTGTAGTCATTCAGGAAATTCTTAAACATCTGTTTATAAAATACAATAAATACAAGGGTTCATGCAAAGTGATTTCAACTGATAAATAATATGAGTACGTACTCGTCCACATGTACATACATTCATACTCATTCATGTACTTATATAATATGCATACCAATGTTAATTTTATAGCCACATGCTTGAAACTAAGAAAAATTAATTTCAAAGGCCATTCTAACGTACATACTTCTAAAAAGAGTGGGACTACATAATTTTAAAAACGTGTAGCGTCTATAAAAATATCCCTGTGTAAACGCAGTTAACATTTCTGGGCGAAAAAATATCTCGACTTTCGGCAATTAAAAGTCGCGATGAGAACAAACTGAGACAACAAAACGGTTTCTGTGCCACAAAGGCAGTTGAAGATCATTCTTAGGCCAGCTCTTCGACAAATACGTTGCCCTTAACCTCAGAGTAGCCTAGTAGTAGTTTTTCGCTGCCAAAATAAATGGATATCTGAAAGGATAACTAAATGTGTCCTTCAAATTTGTTTCGAGGGTTATTTTGACATAGGTTAAGATTAAGACATTTCAGCCTAAAATGCGGTAGTCAATCTGCCCAATCCAATTTAAATTTTCTATCGTTAGAGTAAGGGATTTCGTTCAGGGATTATTTCTGTTGAAATATGTATTTATTTAATTGTCTTTTAAAACAATCAGAAAGATCACATCTTTGCAACCCTGAGGTTTTTATCAAAACCCAAGAATGCGGTTAAACAAGTTGTTATTGATCCTGTGACCGAAAGCACGGCAAACCATTCGTCACGGATGTTTCATTTGCGTGCAGATCCAAATTTGTATGCCGGGCCAAATGGCTCCAATGTCTTTACTAAAAGTCTTATCGAGAAAGAAGTTCCGAGCAAGTCTCTTATAAAGGGTCATGGGACAAAAGTTGGTTTTATACCTCACTCTGAACGGTAAAAGCTTTTTCGGGTATATGCCGAAGAATTCACTTTCACATCAATTCGACACGAAGCGAAGAGATGCACTCGTAACAGCTTAGATGGTACTCCCAATTCCACCAATCTTCTGATTGAAAGGTCTTCCCACAGGCGACGAAAGAAAAGTTCACAAAAATGTTGCGTATGGCCAAATAATAGTCGCCGTCAGCTGTACGGGAGCTGATGCTCTGTGGTGTTTTGTGTACTTAGTTTCGTCAAGAAAACGGCGATTAAAGTAGCATTGTGACGATCTTTGGATCAATGTTCCCGAGATGGAGCCGTAGACAATATAATCCTTACACTCGATGACCCCTTCGAATTCATTTACCTTACCATTTCTCTTAACTTCCTACTTATCGATTGGACTAAATTAAAGCAGCATTTATATGGGGTGATTTTCTAGGCTTGTGTAAATTGTGTTTCACTTTTCTAGACATTTTCGGCGATGTTAAATCCCTTACAAACTCGCCTCATATAAATGCTGTTTAAGAAGCAATTTCTGTACCGTATACGGGATGTTCATTTATTTTCCAAAACATATACTGATATGTAGATAGGTACGGGTATTTATGTACATACAAATTCAGCGTTGTTTTAAAATAAGAAATATCAACTTATGAATTGCAATTCACTTGTCAAGAGACGATGACACTGAACTCGTAATTTTAATCTCGAATGCGCTTACCCGTTTAAGATTTAAAAAGTAAAGGTTAACTTCAACAGAAGGTCGAACGATAAGCATTGCGGTTGCCATCAGTAAAAGTCGGGCGTACCAATACCAGCCCAGACCACATTCTAGTTAGAGAATTGGGTAGAAAAAAAATCGCTTTTAATCCGCTGTTTTGTCATATCTGCTATATAATACAGATGTCTAAAATATATAAATATTCAAGCGTAGATTTTAACACCAATTTTCTTTGATGCCTATTTGCCATTTTGATTAATGTGCAATAAAAAAAAAATTCCAACTTAACATTTAATTAAAAGCCACAATTGTTCGCTCACGTCTGCAAAAAAACACCCAAGTAAAGGAGGCTAAGTTTCTAAGCTAAGCCTTTCTAAAAACTACCGTTCGTTAAATTTCGAAACATCGAAGTTTTTGTATTTCTGAAATTTACCGTTATATGAAAAGTGCGCGTAATTCTAGTAGGATTTCAAAATTTTTCAATTTCGCAAATACTAATTTATCGCAGATTTTGTATTTCTCTAAAATACCGTTGTATGGGAGGCGGACGTGGTTACTGTCCGATTCTGTCCATTTTGGTATATATGTATGTATATACATATGTACATACATACAACCGTTATGCGAACAAAGTTGTAATCCTCTTGTGCACAAGTGCGCTTGGGTATAAATCTAACGGTTTTTTTTCTCTATTGGAAAATCACCAATATTCTGCCCCACATAACAACAGTGTATCACCTGCCAAGCGGCGGAATCTGTCAACAGTACTAGGAAATAGGCGCCAGAAAAAAAGCACATTCAAAAATAAAATAAAGAAGAAAACAGTATTTGTTTACTCTTGCGTTTGTAGGTAACTTTAATTAATAGTGTTAATCCTTAGTTGTTATTGGATTATTTCCGGATTAGCGGTGACCAGTTGCCACGTATAGCTCGGTTATATTTGTTGTTTGTTGCCAATTGGCAAAACAACTAAATTGGAGTAGGTATTAATGCATAGTCGTAGCTGAGGGTGATTAGTTTGTAAACGCAGATGTATGTATGTATGTACGGGTGCTTGTGCAAATGTCTATAACTAATTAGGTGAGTAGAATTTTCACTACTTGCTGGGATTGTACCTAGTTTTCAGATCGTATTTCAGCCACGTCAAGTTATGACATGTAAATACTTAACTACTATGGCGTGTCTCGTAGTATACAAAAATTTGTTAATTTGATTTGCTTGTGGCTTTCAAATGTGCGTATCTTCAGTTGGTGCAGCAGTGCGTATGATGAATATGGTAAGGAAAGATGATGATAGCCAATGCGGGTATCGATAAGCGATAGACTAACGGCGCGTTTACATTGGACAATGCTGTCAAGATGATGAAGATGTTCCAGTGGAAAATTATGAATGTATTAGTGAAAAAGTGTGCATGTATTGCTATTGTCATGACAGTATTGTCCGGTGTAAACCCTAAGTAATATCTTATGAAGAAAAGTTTAAAGGCAGTGTCACACGATTGGTACATTTGTAAAGATTTGTTAATTTTTTTATATTGAGCTATTGGTACAAATTAAAAAAAAAAAATTGGGACGAAATTTTTTTGGTAATCACACGATTGGTTAAATACAGCGAACTTCTTTGGAAAAATTTTAACAAATTGTTTTTTGTGATTAGCAAAGAAAATATATGTGTGCATTCACACGATTGGGATACAATTTGCACCAAATTTTGGGCGATGGCGGCTTATGTTGAATTAATATTTAACAGACATTTTGCATCAAAATTGTTATCTTTGTCTTTCACTTCATCGCCACTAATGTAATAGACGGTACACACCGTGCGTCTGACTCGTGAGTCGATGTGGATGTGTTTGTGAAAATAAATATATGTTAGTTACACCAAGATGACTCACGGCATGACTCTGAATGATTCAACTGTGTGTAGTCGAAGGCGAGTCAACACGTACACAAATGACTCGCGAGTCAGACTCTATGAAGCCTATTAAAGAAATCAGAAATCTTTTTAATTGTAAGAGCACTGAAATTCCCCAAATAAATAGTTTAGAGAACGTTGCTGAATTGCCAGTCCCTGGCTTAATATAAATATAAACCTGGGTAACAATAGCCGCTTTCGATTCGCCACTTCTTTGCTCGCATGTTTGAGTTCCGCTCGCTAGCAGCGAGGGACGTCAACACCACTTAGCGAATGGCGAAACGAACGAGGTCACAGTGAGGTACAACCGAACTCGCCATCTTTCATTCTAGTAGCTTTCACATATGGGCATATCCTGGGTTACGGACGCAACATTCGTACGACTTTAGAGTTAAATAAATCATACGAAAACTGAAGTAACTTGTAAAAAATTTGATGTTGTGTAGCTTTTATATCGTAATTTGGTTGACAAAAAGATTAGGTGCGCTCGTTAAGTTTTGGCGCGCAATTTCCTTTTTGATTGGGAATATTTCTCATCGTCACAAAAATCAAAAGGCCTTATTCATAAAAAATAAAGTAGCTTTAATAAAGGTTTATAAACCGAAAAATGTATGGAAATGTCATTTTATAAAGCTCTTTAAACCTACTTTATTTTTTATGAATAAAAAAAAACATACATCAGATTTTAATAGTTCATCCATATTTTCATTTCACTTATTTTGTTTCACCAAATCCTCCTCATACTTTGTTTACATTTGAATTTGTAACATTACTTTGTTTTTTAACACCTGCAAATTCCAGCTAGAAAATTTTTACTTGCAAGAATTTGCAGCTCTCTCAGATTGTTACGAATTCGCTCTCTCTTGCAAATTTTTTGGGTTATTGAATGCATTTCCAGAAAAAAACTTGCATGTGCTGGTAACAATTCGTAACAACTTTTTGATGTGGAATGGATTTATCAATTGACTCGTTAAACTCCACCTTTTTCCGCTGCTGATTTACATTTCCGTCAGTAAATTGTGAAGGCAGTTTTTACTGACAAGTAGTTTAACTTACTTTAACACCAGATGGCGCCGTCACATTTGACTTTGAACAAACAGCTGATAAACAAAACAATGCATTTTTATTGCATTTATTTATTCACTACTTTTCCTAAAAGTTGTTGACAAATTTGCGAAATAAAAACTGGCAAGACAACACATTTTACACGCGTGATACCAAGTACGAATATTTATTTTAATTGTTTGTTCAGTTAACCATTATGGACACCGAGGCACTGGCACAAACTGTAGATAAATCACAAATGCCACCGTTGCACCAAAAGCGCGTCTTGGCCTTCATTAACCATTTTATAATTAACTCTTGCAATTTTCTCAATGATTTCGCATTGCAATGCGAAACAAAATTCATAGATTTAGAAAGAAAAATGCAAAAAGTCGAAGCCGCCTTAACTATAATAGAAGCGAAGGTAAGTAAGAAAAGTCGTATGTAACCTTTGCAATGAAGAAAATAATAAATTTCCAAATTCAATATGCAGCTTGCATCTGTACCTGATGTTACAGAGACCGCAATGTCAACTACTGCCAATAGCATTACAACAGACAAAATTCCTAGTGAAACTGCAGAAAAGACTGAAAGCACACCCGCCACAGGTGCTACTGGAGATATATCAAGTGCCGAAGATCAAAGAGACAATGAAATGCCGGAACCCACAGGTGTGCGCGCATGCGATGATGTGCGTTTTAAAAAGTTTTTCAAAATGGTGCAATTTGGTGTACCCAATGAGGCAGTAAAAATGAAAATGCAAGCTGAAGGTGTCGAACCAAGCGTACTAGAGTGAGTTACTAAAAAATTAATGAAATTTTTTATAATTGCATATTTCTTTAAAGCACTCCAAATTTGCTGCTGGCAGATGGCGTTGCCGCCTGATTGTGCCTCACGAAACTAAGCGCCGTCACTTCAGATTAGTTGCTGTCCAATACATAGGTTTGAGCGTCAAGAAACACCTGCTTTAAACTTCCTTGCAACTAACATATTAAGCTATTCAATTTGTGATAATCCGTTCTATGAATACATACCTTGTAAAATTTTAATATGCTAATAGAATAAAATACGCACAAATGTTTAAATTGAATTTTCTTTTAATTCAATGTTTAGGTATAAAACACTGTTTTAAACTATATTTGCATTTTTTTCACAGGCGATTGGTTGTAGTGCTATTCACTATAGCAAAACGCATTCAATCTTTGCACTGACAGCAAACAGAAAAACAAAATAAAGGTAGCGTGGTAATGGGGGCGAGTAATTTAGAACTGGATCATCTGTCCCTTCCTTTTCTTGTCACCACCCAGCTCGAAATGCTTGCAACGCTTTAGAGGTGTTTGCTTGCGGTACTTGCATTCCGTGCATTCCATACGCAGCACAATCTTTTTGGTGGTCTTAGCCTGAAAATGAAGAAAATAAAAGAGTTAAGTCAACAGTTTCAGGCAATGGAAAGTTAAAAATTTAATTTTAAAGTATTTTTCTTGTGTGAATGTTCCAACTCAGCAACTACCGGCAACATAAAGCAGTTACTATAGAGTAGTTTTCAGCATTCAACGTTAATATTGCATACATTTATCCCACCAAAGAGCTTTGCAGCGCGCTTAAGCGACGCAACAGCAATTTAGTTCTACAAATATGCCAATATAACTGGTATTTTCGATTGTAATTCGTACCTTCTTCCTGAAGATGGGCTTAGTTTGACCGCCGAAACCCTGTTGTTTTCTGTCGTAACGACGTCTTCCCTGCGCACCTTTACGCTCCTTGGACTTTTTGTACTGTGTCACCTTATGTGGCTTGTGGCACTTGCATTTCTTGCAGAAGGTGCGTCGCTGTTTCGGCACATTGACCTGAAAAAAGAATTTCAAAGCCTCTTTTAGCAAATCTTCACACAAACTTTTATTTGCACAACGAAAAATCGCAAAAACATATCCAGCAAGATACGAGAGTTTCATCGGTAATATAAATACACCAACATATAACAAATGATTTATATTTTCCATCAAAGCACAAGTCTGTGTATTTTGCATAAATATTTTTGAGATGCATCGCGATTTCTATAAAGATTTTTATACGAAATTTCCACAAACGTACCATCTTGGCGATTCTTGGTTGTCAAAGAAAGAAAAAAAGAAAGAGAAGAAGAATAAACGGAAGCGATAGAAATGTCAGCTGTCAAATTGCTGGAATTTTTCTGAAATGGCACTACCGGAAATCATTGGAAAGCACTACCGGAAGTACAGGGTACTGGGAAGCAACTGTTATCATGAAACACAGCTGGAGGGTTACACGCTATTACTGGCCCTCTTCACGCGCTGGAAAATCTCGCTCGCGTGAGGACGCATGCACAACAAATTGACCGCTAACAAGTAAGAAAGTCTAAGTTCAGGCGGGGCCGAACATTAAATACCCGGCGCAAGTATTACATATATGCCTTTTCACCTTTCCGAAAGCTACAGCTACATGGTAAGCCGGGGTGTATCAATTTTGAATAAATTAGCGTCCTTAAATTTCGAAATATTGACGTTTCGAGCATTTCTAAAATTTACCGTTATGTGAAAAGCCGTAATTTTAGTCCGATTTCAATAATTTTTAACGTTTTGCTTTTATGTGGCAAGCACAATAACCATACCGAGCTTGGTACAAATTGGTAGAACGGTTACCGAGATACATATATGTGATCATAAGTGGGCGGTGCCACGCCCATTTTCCAAAATTTTATGATAAGCGTATTTCCTGATAAAGAATTGTTGCAAGCATCAATTTTGAATAAATTAGCTTCAATATTTACGGATTTATCGAAGATTTCGTATTTCTCCAAATTACCGTTATATGGGATGTGGGCGTGGTTATTGTCCCATTTTTAAAATTTTCGGCCATTTGGTATCCTGTACCAAGGCCAATAACTGCGCCAAGTTTGGAAGAAATCGGTGCAGCGGTTGCCAAGATATACACATGTAACACTAAGTGGGCGTGGCTACGCCCATTTTTCAAAAAATTTATAATATTCTCACTTTTCGTCTAAAAGTTATTGCAAATATCAATTTTGACTGAATAATCTTCAGTAGTTACTAAAATATCGCAGTTTTCGTATTTCTGAAAATTACCGTTATATGGGAGGTAGGCGTGGTTATTGTCCGATTTTGCCCATTTTCAATACCATCCGTCCTACGCCCGAAAGAAGTGCACGTGCTAAGTTTCGTTAAGATATCTTAATTTTTACTGGAGTTATCGTGTGCACAGACGGACGAACGGACGGACAGACAGTCACCGCTTAATCGATTTCTCTTTTCATCCTGATCATTTATGTGAGCAAAGTTATAATACCCTTGTGCACAAGTGCGCTCGGGTATAATAAGCTGAAACTTGCCTGTATAAACGGGGTGGTTAAAAACAGGCTTTGATTGAGATTATATTTATATGTAAACATACTTTAACGGCGGTTGCTTGATAGTAGGGATCTTCACGCCCATTTCGGTAGTTCTAGTAAACTGTTAGTTGGTACTCGGTAATTTTATCAGCGGTAATTTTGTAACAGAAAATTGAAGGAATTTTACTTACTCATATGCGTTATGCCTTTCGGCAACGGGAGGATTTACTATTGAATAAATATTGAACAGCTGATTGCAGTTTGCCAACCACCAGAAAATTTATCCAGCTTTCACCACGATAATTCGAAAATTACCGCTCCCCGAACTACCTAGTACCAGTACCATGCTCGGTGTGAAAACGCCCAGTTTATTGTCTTTATAATTAGTTTTACTTTTGTACCCACTTTCCAGCAAGATCCAGTTACAATTATGTTCATAATGTTCATGTTTTGGGGCTTCCGTACGCAAAAACTAGCAATGTAGGGGAATTGGGAGAGCGAAAATGACAGCTGAGCTTGCAAGTTTCACCGGGTTTTTACGGGTACATGGTACATTCTTACTTGCAACAATTTGCCAGTATGAAAAACAGCTGGTCGCATGTTGCTGAATGCAATTGAAACTAATACCATGTTCTGATCAACGAAACACTTTGAAAACGAGTTTTGGGATTGTGGCGAAATGGCGTATTGAAGATGATAAAATATGACTTCCACTTCGATAAATAATCGAAAACAATAAGTGTTGACACCGATTAGAATGAGTGGAACGTGAGTTTTCAAGTGAAAACTGGTTTTCGTGTTACAGATTTTACATGGACGAAAACACAAGTTTTAGGTCGAAAACCAGGAAACTTCTTATGGGGTTTTTATAGTTGAAATTGAGGAAATAAACATTTTTACATGCAAATTATTACTGGTTTAGCGTTCACGCACATTTTTGGAGAGCGAATTCTCAGAAATCAAGTTACCGGAATTGCTGGCCAGTTACTGGATAATTTTTACATAAACAAACCTATTGGCTGGACGCCTAATAATATTACAGGCTAACCTAATATTCGCGGCTTGCGTTTTGGTATGCATGCCGTCGAATTTGTTGAAATTGGCTTGCGTGCATTTCCATTTGATGTCATTGAGCGAAACGTCAAATCAAAATGTCACGCAAAACAAAAATTGGAAATTGAGTTAGGCTTTCTGCTCATTGGTCGTCCAATCATAGTTGAGTCATAGTTATCGTCATGAAGCAACGATTACATGACGATTACACTTCTGCACACGTGGTCGTGATATTTCAATTCATTTGGCGTCTAAAAATTCACTTGGAGCAGGTATTTTCTGTTTTTTTGGTTGATATTTTCGCGAAATATTTACAAAAACCTGCAATTTTTTAAATATAGATTGTGCTGCAACATTTCTAGACGTAATTTTCCAGTAATATCTCTTCTTTTCTTTTCCTGGAATGTGTTTTGTGTATGCACACAGAGACTTAATACAATTTCGTCATATTTTATAGTTAAAACGCTCATATTTATTAAATTTTAATGCAATTATCCACTTTTTAATAATTTCCACAGATTTTATGCAAAAAAATACTAATTTTTATACAATTTTAATGCAAATATTAACTTTTTCACTAATTTTCCCCCATAAAATGTCAACAAACAATGCGTGCACAACGATTAGCAAACGACAGTGCCGTACTTATCCGTTTCTGCATATTCTACGATTTGCCGATAACTAGCCGATAACGACAAGTGTGCAGATCTCCTTTGAAATGCATGTGCTCGGCTCAAAATTTCAGGGCGAGACGATAACGCAACTATGATTGGACGACAAGTGTGCAGATAGCCTTAAAGTGTGTTCGCATTTAAATATTAGGTTTGTATAGTAACCAATAGTCAGTACTAATTTGTACTGGAACCTGCAAATTTTTACTGGAAAAGCGTATGATAACCCAAAAAATTTGCAAGAGAGCACTGAATCGAGAGCGTAGCAACACGGGAGAGCTGCAAGTTCTTGCTAGTGAAATTTTTACTAGCAGAAATTAGCTAGCAGAAGAAGAAGAAGAATAAGCGCCATTTGTTGAATTGGTTTAGCACAAACAAAAGTAAAATGAGTAGAAATCAAAATATTAATGATGTACTGGACTGTATAAGTGCGTGTGTGTAAAGCAAAGCGTTTAAAAATGATTTATAAATAGTAAAATGTTTACAGCAGAATATCAAAACAGTGCAACAGCTGTTCACTTGCAAGTTTTTGCTAGTTTTGTGTTCATTAACTTTTTCTGCTAGTTTTCTGTTCTTCTCAATTTTACGCTCTATTTTGCTTTTACGCTCTCGCTGCAATGTTTTACTGGAGAAGTTACTATACAAACCTATTATTTCAATCAAAGCTTGTTTTTTAATCACCCCCCTTATACAGGCAAATCTCAGATTATTAGCCGTTAAATTTTTTGTGCTTGTTATTCTCACATCTTAAGGAAAGGCAATGTTTCGTCTCTGTGCCACTGTGATCACTTTTTTCTGCTATACAAAGCAATTTAAATACGTTTTAACTTAATATTTTATTAAAAATACCTTTACAAACCTCTTTTACTTCCTAGCGTCCTTTTTTGTTTACTTTTACATTTGGCATTTCCCCCTCTTCTTCGCAAAAATAATCGATAAAAGCAGGTTGGACACCGAAAAGTTATCGGTTAAATCCGAGATTATTTTATAATTACAGATTAGGGAGTTAAGCTCGAAAATGAGGATAATCTACTTATATGTGAACATAGTATTAGCTTCATACGCACGCCGTTCAATTTCAGTTGGTCTCATACAAGTCGCATGTGCATGAGAAATTTTTGACAATCAATTGGCGGCGTGCGTGAATATTAAGTTAGCCTGTTACATATTTTCAATTGTCTTGCCTTATGTAAACACAGGGTTATTTCATTTAAAATTTTGCAGCTTTTAACACCACTGGCTGAGAAATGGGGATGCAAAAGCAATTAAAAATAGCGCAGCTGTCGAGCAGTGTTGCCACAACGCCAAAAATAAAATGTATCTTAAAAGTGCGAAAATTGGATCAAAGAATCATATCAGAAAAAACTGCCAAAGTTTAAAATAATTCTACATATTTGTTTTTATTATTGTTATCAATGCAAAAAGAAAATCTATAATTCACATTCATATAATCCTGTAAATAAAGAGAAATATCTTAGAGCATAAACAGATGACAGCGTTGATCCGGATCAACTTGGGATTTAACTGCAGTTGATCAGGATTAAGTCCGAGTTACAAAAACAACAAAAGAATATTAGGCCGATTTAACGGATACTTGCATACAAATGTAAACACTTATACCTGTTACCAGTCTATCATTTAAGTATCAAATAATATAATTGCATGATATACCGGTTATAATTAAATACTACAGCCGCAGAGGCAAATGTTAAGTAAATTTAAAATGAAGCAGTCAGCTCATCACATTCTAAAATAGTTCGTTTGAAGCATTCCTCTTTAAGTTTATTTGACCCCAAAAGTGTATATTTTTTCTTTGTCATGTATCAAAATTTGTACTTCGCGTATTCGTGTATTCCGAAAATTGGTACACTACCTATCACGTTTGAATTATATGAATGAAGACGGCAACACTGCTGACCATATTGAAAGCAGACGCAGCGCAAAAACAAAATGGGTATAGCAAGAGCTTCGTTAACGTTGTTGGTTTGTTGCAAAGCAAGCAAAAAAAGTAAACAAATTTTATTTCTGGATATTTATTCAAAATATTTGGCGATTAAGGAATGAATCTTTTACAGGCGAACAATTAAATAAAAAGTATAATGCTAGAAGTAAAGTGTTTGCATTTGTGTATATGAATGTATGCACGTATTTAGTTAGTTTTACAAGTATGTATGTATATACTCTTAAGCATCATCTTCAAATAGCGACAAATTATCAATTGCTGTGTTTAAGAATGACGAATTCAGCTTAACTAAAAGTATGTCTTCTAAAGTCTCGTAAATATTTTTGATCCTCTTGCTTGTTAAAACGTGTTTCAAAGATGAGGCAGTGTCTTCTATAGCCACCTGTTGAAATAAGAAAACAAATATATAAGCACATACAGAAATCATCAAACTTAAATCGTATCATCACCCACTTGCGTTGCAGGAATGCCAAAACAAATGTTGCTCAATGCACACAGTTCAGGATCGGTATGCCTTTTCTCGCGCCAATATTGCAATACATCAGTGTCGCTGCGCAGAAATGGAAGATGTAGGCTTTCTATTTTGGTGTATACATCAGGATAAGCTATCTCACATGATGCTGTTTGAAGTTTTTCAGCCAAAAACGAATTCAACATCTCTTCCGCTTCATCTTCGAAGTTACGTTCAGTTTTCTCTGGAGTGTTCCTTGAAACCAATTCCGAAGGATCAGCCACGGAACATAATTTTTCCCAAAGGTGATTTAAATAAACAACAGCTTGTTGCCTTTTAGTTAAATTTAATGTATGATGAAATCTAGGATCCAAATACAAGCACGCATTAAGGCTTTCATTCTCAAGTAATTTAGAAGTTCGTTTTTCAATGCTTTCCAAGATTTTCTTTCCAATTTTATTTACCATATCATTGGAGGCGTTGATCTGCATTATTTTATCAGTGAGTATCTTACATTTGAGCCATTGAGCGTAAAAGTCTCCATAATGTAAATGTTCTGCTTTAAATTTTTTTATAACGTCTTGTAAAGGGGTGAAAACGGCATGATAACACTCCATAAAGTCCCAAAGAGAATCGTCGTTGTGAAAATTTTCTTCCACAGTTTTGTCTTCGACAGAGTCAACAGATGCCAAGATCTCCTTAGCAGATATCATTGCCTCAATCATCTCGTAAGTTGAACCCCAATGGGTGGGATAATCGATTTGAGGAAGTTGAAAGTTGGTCAATTCAAAAACGTCTGTGAAACCATTTGATGGATGGAGAATGAACTTCGTCAAATTTCTGCAACTTTGTAAAAAGGCTTTTATTTCAGCATCTGTTGTAATATCCAGAGCACACAAATGGGCGGAGAGCGCTGCGCACTGAGAAATTTGAATGTTTGCAACGCAAAAATTTGATGAATTCTGCAGATTTTCGATACTATCTAAATAGGTATCGTCAAGATATTCCGGGGCTGGTTCGGGTTCTTCCTTGATTTTGTAATTTATTTCAACCATGTTTGCCTCGTTATCGGAAGTGATTGAAATCACCTGCTTTAACTCTATATCATATTTGTTTAATATTTTCAATATTTCTCCTGTGAGATTATTTGAGGGACTGAGCTCTACTATGCCCAGCGTAAGGGATTTGATTTCATCTTCTTTAATAAATTGTGCACTTATTCCGAAAATATTCCAAGAGAGGCCTGATAAACTGTCAATTTTTAAAGATAAAAGCCTTTTGTCCATTTCCGTTTTCGTATTGTTTCTTATACTTTCAGCTACTTTATTTAAAGCGATTTGACAATTTTTGGCATCCAGGGTGATGTTCTTGCCAAGCTTCTTCCCTAGACCATCACAAATAGGATCGATTATATTTCGAAAATTAGGAGAATCTAGAACATCTAATGGCACACTGTCTTCTATGACTAGCCCAATATACGATTTAAATAGTGTTCTCTTATTCATTGGCATTTTAATATTTCCTTTTCCTACATAATATGCTGACGTTGATGCCGAGTCATTCGAGCTCGGTACACATTCATACCGCCATAAGTTAACTTTGTGTTTTTTTAGCAAATGAATTCTTAAATTAAAAATCCTTTCATTTTTCAACACTAGTTTGCAGATTTTGCAAACGGCCTTCCCCACTTCGCTTTGGTTGTCATAATACTCCCATATATCAATCTGGTTCTTTTTTATTGGCACAGTGTTTTCATTTGCTGATTTGCCATTCGATCTAATCAACCTTTTTTTAATCGTTTGTTTTTTAATTTTTTGCTTTCTTTCAGAATTGTTATTAGACGTCTTCGCATTGGCATTCATCAAATTTATTTTATGTTTTTTCATCAAGTGATTTTTTAAGTTAAATGTTCGGTTATTTTTCAACTCTTGTTTGCAGATATTACACACTGCTTTTCCTACTTCTTTTAGGTTTTCGAAGTACTCCCAAATGGGATTTGGTTTCCTCTTGGACGAACTCATCTGCTCTTCTTATTTTGTTATTAAATATTCACACAAACTAGATATGCCACAAATGGGCACAATGCAACAATAACACTTTTAAAATGCTTTTAACTTTGCATTCAACTTGCTGCAGTCACACTTTAGCTGCGAAATTGCAGAGCAACACCAGCAAAAGTAAAATAACAACTGACACATGCAAGGTAGTGCTGTCGCTTCGCTACGAAATTTGTTGCTTCACGATAGCAAAGCAAAAGCAAAATGGAAAGTGGAATGTGACAGTGTTGCCATGCATATAAGATGATACCAAACGTTTACGGTTGTAACTCGATATCTCTAATTTTTGTTTAACTCGTTCCATGATCAATCAGATTTGCTTGCATCTTATAAAAACAAACATCATTTGTTTATCATGGCATTCATATGTACATACATACATTCGTACGTAGACGGCAAAATCCGTGTGCTTACTTATTTTCATATAAGGGAGAAAATGCTTTGGCATTACTGGTTTCTCGGCTGTGATGAATGCCGCAAATACGAAAACAAAGCAAAAGCAATCACTAAACAGCCAGCTGCAGACTTTCCTGCTATTGCTATGGCTTTGCTGTCGCAGATGTACAATACACAATCCATACGTAAAGCTACAAAACTACAAAGAACAAGCTCTCGTATGCCAACGCTCAGGGCAAAGCGCCGTTGAATTTGCTATACAAAATTTGCCACTCTTTGCACATGACGTCACAGTGGCTGACCATTTCGTACATACGCACATGCATATGTATGTATGTATGTATGTTCATGTATACTTTCCTTTATTTATTGAAAATTTTAATATGCATATATACTTATGTACCTATGTGTGTACGTATGCATTGTATGTACATACGTATATAAGTATGTAATATGTACGTAGATCGTTGAAGTAAAGGATTCCTATAAACATATGAATGTATCTATGTACATGTATATGCATGCCTATCCTTTATGTTAACTATTTCCAAGGTATGGTATATGTACAGTCTGCGTCAAAAATTTGACGTTTTGACGATCTCATTACTTATATTTTCCATGGTGGAATTGCGCCAGGTACATATATTTTCCATACTATTTTTTTTTTTGTATAAAAATTTAGTTCCAAACTGCATGCTCAAAATTTTTCTATGAAAAAAAAAAAGAAATTGAAAAATTTTAAATTTTGATGAAATTTTTTGGTATGTATTTCTTAAATTTTCCCGAGTTCTATGTGCATACACTTAGGTCTCTTTTTATGCGTTTTTTTTTATGCGGATTTGAATTTATGCGGTTTTTCAAACCATTTTTCGCTGTAGCGATTTTGCTTTTTTGAGAGTTTCTATTACTTTTTTTCAGTTTGTAGGAGACAATGCTTCTGATAAATAATTTGTCTTTGTTATTTATTTGATTAATGCTCAGTTTTATATGGAATAATAAATAAAGTGTTGAAGTGAAGAAATAAATTGTTTTTTTTTTTTGCTTAATATTGCCTCACTGGATTTTTTATGCGGTTTTTCAGAATTTTTATATGGTGTATCTGAATTTATGCGGTTTTTGAAAATGCTGGAACGCATCCTCTGTTTTTGTATGAAAGTAAAGAACTTTTTTATGCGGATTTTTTTATGTGGCTTTCTGAGGATACATGCGTTCCGCATAAAAAAAAGACCTAAGTGTATATGAAATTGAAAAAATTGATTCTGCTGGTTTTTGCTGTTGGAAAAATAACACAAATTCGGTATGGAAAATATAAATAAAGAAACATCAAGGTATTCATATTTTTGGCGCTGACTGTATGTATATGTACACACAGCCACATGTACACATCGGCGTAGCCAGAATGAAATTTAGGGAGGGAATCGAAACTATTAAGCTAGCATTTCAGGGCACTATTTTTTACATATCGTTAGTATAGTATGGAGTTCCCACATCGTTTTATGCAACAAAAAACTATAGTTAGTTGTGGCTTTTTTGAATTTTAGCGACGATGTTAGTTACGCCCTTTCCTTACTTTCTTTACGATATATAGGGAAGACTGGAAAGTTAGGTGGCCCTCGCCCTCTTACCCCTACGTGGCTACAAACACACTGCATGGCTCTATAACTTTGCACTCATGCACCAAATAAAAGGTACATACATACATATATGCGTTCGTTTACACTATTATTTTTTTTATGCAAACCAAGTAGGTATTAGTGTGTACGTACAGTGCGCACTCGGTAACCACAACCCTCGTTGCACGCAATTCCTGCTACATAATGGCAACACGCAGCGATATCGATATGTTCAACCACCTCGGCTATTTCACAAATCTCCGCCTCGAATTCCATGGTCGCGTCATTCGCTACCTAGACGGGAGAAATTATGTTGGAGTTGGGCATAGAACTCCATGGCACAAAAATCCCAACCATAAATCCCCATGAATACTGGATGCAACTTCGACGCTACGACAATCAGCAACAGGTACCGCAGAAGGTTCGAAAATACACCCAGCGAAGGAGCACCGCCCTTATTTATATTACAACAGTTCGTGCTGCCACAGAGCAAACTCCCAAAGCTGAGGTTGTAGAAATTGTTTTGACAATTAAAGCCCCGGATGTTATGGAACCTTTTAACAGCTGACACTCATGTCTGGTTGAACCAATCAATTTTAAATTTATCAGCCTGTTAATATTTAAAATGACACAATTGTGTTCGGAAAATTTGTCGTTTTAAATTTTAACAGTCTGATCAATTTTAAAATTTACTGGTGGGGATCAGTGTTTTACCCAGTCTAAAGTTTCCATGAAAGATGCTTATAAAAATATTTGGGACTTAAAAATTTTGCCCTGTACTTGGCCGGGTTTCTGCTCCCATTTGTGGCGTGCATCTTGATGTTACTAGTACAACAAATGAGAAATTGGTTGGACAAGATCGGTTCTATCGATTGTAGTATGCACTTCTCAAGGAAAAGTTAACGAGTACCTACTGTATACATATACGTATGCATTAATATCTGTCTACATTAGATTGCCTCACTCTCCAAACAAAAACTATCGTATCTGCTTCTCCGAACTACAAATGGATTCCATCAATTTGTAAATGGCGTAAAATAGTTCCGCATTGCCAGATTCATGCGAATATGAAAAATGTAACTACATAACGGTTTAAACTTAAAAAATTTACATAAAAATATTAAAAAAAAAAAATAAAAATTTAACGGAACCGTAATAATGAGATTTTTAATGCTGTTTTTTTTAACTTTTTTCAAAGATTGGTATAAAAAAAAACTTGAATAACTGAACCTAAACTCTTCCGATTTAGACTTGTGAGGTATCATTGGAAAGGTATTTTCTTACCTTTTTTATATCTTTGCTAATAAGCTCATTCAAAGGATGAAAGGGAAAGGTAGGATGAACGAACATCATTCAAAGTTGAATTAAGGTGTGTTGGTATCTGAAAAAAATGGGACTCGAATGACTTTTGTTTTGCACATAAGTCTAAATCAGAATAGTTTTGGCCCAGTTATTTAAGTTTTTCTTAAATCAATAATTGAAAAAAGTAAAAAAACAGCATCAAAAATTTCATTATTACGATTCCGGTGAAAAGATTTTTAAATATCTTTATGCAGATTTTTTAAGCCTAATCTGTTTTGTCATCTGAGGGGACTTTTTTCAAAGAGTTCTTTAAGAAACAATTTTTATTCATAAAAAACTACATTTTTGGAGGTATTTTCAAATCGGTCCAGCTCGCTTAACTCTTAATATTTTTCCGGAATATTTTGGTGGACGTCTTAAAATATAATAAATTTTGTAATCCCGGCGGAAAAACCGCCACTGTTTTTGGTGATGCAGTCTAATGTACATATGTATGATTTTTTTTTTTAATCAAAATAACACCATGCGACAAAGAATCAGATACACTAACAAAACCAGGGGCTAAATATGGTAAAACTGCACTTCTAGTTTTTCTCCCTGATGTCAGGACTTTATTTAATAAAAGACTTTGAAGTTTCGAGGATATGATTAATTCTAAAAAATGTATTACAAAATTTTTTAAGCTATTTAAGTTGAAAGGACGAAGTTCGACGATGTGGTCGTGTATGTGTTGTAAATTTCCAAAGATATTCAAAAGTAAAATTTTAAAAGGAGACTTTCAACTACTATTCGTCCTTTTTCACCATATTTTTTTTTCAGTTCTACAGAGTTTTTCCTTCAATTTGATACCAATTTTGTTATTCCACATTGCACTGAAGCATTTTTTGAATCCTTACACTACACAGAATTACTAAAAATGCAGTTTTACTATATTTGGTCCATAAATAGCCCGGGAATCAGCAATATGCCAATAACTCACTTACTTCCTTCAATAAAATCACATACAGAATCAAAGTGTTACCCAGTGCCATGATTGACTTGGAGAAACAGCAACTTCTCTTCGTGAATCATCTTAATGTGCTACTTAACGCCCATTTGCTACAAGAGTGTCATAATTCAAAAAAAAAAGTCAAAAGCTCGAGAAAAACGGCTTTAAAGTTTAGTTTTAATACGTTCCAATAGTAGATATGAAGACATATTCCGAGCTATTGTTAATCGTTACTGCTATCAAATTTTTACACAACATAAAAGAAGAAGGGCGGTCATTTTTGCATACTTAACTAATTTCATTTTTGGGTTATGACACTCTTGCAGCAAATGAGCGATATGTAAGCCCATACATATTTACAAGTGTGTGTAAATATGCTGAACCGGGAACTCATTCATTCATCCATTGTTTGTGTTTTTTTTTTTTGAAAATGGCCAAGTGTACATAAATATGCTTAACCGAGCCCGATTTGCCGCCAATGCTGCCGTCCGTGGTTAGCGGGAAGCCACTTCGTGTTGGATATATTAAATGCCAGGAAATACACTTACTTAGATACTGCAAGCATAGACTGTTGCAAACGACTAATTTGTTTAGATCTTTACAGAATACAGAAACAATTCTACATAAAGCAAATACAAATTTACACGCTAAAGCATATCTGTGACATTTTATTTAAACAACTTATCTCGCGATAGGCCATTTTCTTTTTAAAACAATATTTCATTGGGTTTTCAAAAAATGTGTTAACACTTAACTAGTCATAGGTGTAGTTTAAGATGCCGTTTTAATAAAAGCTTAACAAAAATATAAAAT